TATATATATATATATATATATATATATATATATATATATCCTGGACGGGTTTTACAACACATTGGCTACTTAGGCTAGCCGAAAAGTTCGTTTTCATCAGCAGGTTGTCCCCCGCCACATGGAGGGGCACCAGGCTCTCCCTAAAGCAGTCCATGGGCTTGTCAACGCCTCCCTGGTCTCGTTACTAAGAGGGCATCCTTCATCATCCTGAGGGCCCTTATCCACATCATGGGGTCTCCTTCTGGTCACTACAGCGCCAGCGCAGTATCAATCTGCGCAGACACCCAAGACAGCCAAAGTGCTGAAGAACTCTCTTGCCACAGAGGCAGATTTTCAACCACTCCCGTAATCAAGTTATTAACTCGTGTCGCCACCTTCTGTCCCTGCCCCTCTGCCTTGCGTCGCTTGCTGCTGCCCACACCACTCTCTACGATCCTTATTTCGCCTTATACCTACTGTTTCTACCTCTTCGTCTCCACCACTAGTGGTTTCCCTACCTGCTACCTCAACTCGTTTTTGTCCATTTCTCTGTGCCGCTTTGTTTGTTCCCCTGTGTCTCGCGGGCCTCTTCAAGGCTGCTGAGGAGGCAGGCTTGGACTGGAGGGTTCCCACAAGCCTTAAGCTTTAGAAAAGAAGTGTAGTGGCTTTAATTGAACTAATTGTCTACTAATTGGAATTACTCCACCAACATTTTTCATTCGACAGCTAATTCACTCAATGTTTTGCGCACGTAATCGAATCCCTTCTGAAAACTCACTTGCACGGTGCAGGAAACCGAGGAATCCTGCCAGTCCCACCCTCGTTCTTTGGGTCTCCCGGTATTGCTGCTGCTGCTTTGCCTGCCCCTGATGCTGGTGTGCTGCTGCTATTGGTGCTGCCAGCAGCAGTGCTTGAGGGAGGAGACCTGCAGGAGTTTGGGCCTAAAGACAAATCATAAGCGCCCAGTTAATCAGAAGGCAACGAAACATGTATATGTTAAGCGCAGGCTAGCCTGATTAGTCGTGTTTACAGAAGTAGAAGCTAGAACTGAGGAAAACAAGAGGAAGACGCCCCAGCACAGGCTTCCATCTAAAGAGACAGTGTGTCTCCTAGCGCATCAGCATTCTTCCGAGCACAGTGGCTCTTCTTCTTCTCGATGGTTCTGTTAGTTGTTTTGGTGAATGCTTATTAAATTGCATCTCGTGTCCCCACAAATATAAAAAGTATTGATGCAGAACGAAGGCTAACAGCAGCAAACGCCACGACGTTCGTGGACCCCACCGGCCTGGAGACCGTCTCCAAGACGGCAAGCTGTATCCTGAAGCATCCAACTGTAGTCTGACACAGCTCTACACCAGTATCAAAAGCATATCTCTACAGACTGCATCCTGCTCCTAAGCACCGCTCGCTCTACCACTCTCTCTAGCCAGCACGCTGCAGCCCTGACGAGCAGTAGCAAACACTATGTCCCAGCGTCCCGCTGTTTGCACAAGTGTTCCGGGTTCCGCCGCTCCTGGGAGCAGGAGACAACAATAATACCAGACAGAAGGGGAGGGAACCCAAGACGAATTTGCACCGAGCAGTTCTATCTCTACAAAGTGTATTTTGGATTAAAGCGTTTCGGCGTTACAATTGCATTAAACAGGAGCTGTCCTTTTTTTAACGTTGCACTTTAAACAGGCAGCGGAACACCACCGCCATCAACACGGGAGTCAAAAGACAGCACTGAGAAAAGCGAGAAGCCCTGCTGAGAAAGGCGAGAAGCCCTGCCACAAGAAGCCCCTGAAGCAGCAGCAACACGAGGTGCTGCAGCTGTCACTGCAGAGAAAGGGACGGGAGGAAAGGTGACGACAAACGTGAGAGGAGACAAAGAGAGATACTGTAGGATTTAGTCAGGAAGTACCGCCACTCTTATTGCGACCATGAATCACAATCGGAAAGCAACTCCATCAAAAGCACTCAACAGTGATGTCATCTGATGCAACTAACACTAATGCAGCAGATACCATTCCTGCTCCTGTTGCTCTCAGTTCTGCAAGAAAGATCATGGCTTATTGCCGGAATCGCCTCCTGCGCTGCTGCTGCTGTCTCCGCTGCTGCTGGTGCTGCTCTCTCCTTCCGCTGAAGTGGTGTTGCTCTGAAAAACACAATGACACCCGCAAGGGAATCAGAACAAGCATAAGCAGTGTTTATCGCGTGTTGTGTCTGAATAGCTTCGAAGGCAGTGACAGTCTCAGTAGTTCAGCTGCCGCTTCCCGTCGCTGTCGTCTCCCACCTGACTGCTGTATGCCTGCTGAGACACCTTCCAAGACAATTCCTGCAGCTCCTTGACTTTGGCGCGGAGAGTGTCTGCATCGCCTTCGCCCAAAACACCCCGCAGCTGTTCCATGCGCTTCTCTAGCTCGGCTTTGTCTTCAGCAGAAATTTTGTCCTGCAGCAGACAGACCCCACCGAGCCGACAAGGAACATAAACGTCCCGACGCGAATGGTTATCAATGCTAGCAGCTGGTTCGACTCTAGCCCATGACTGCATGCAATAGGGAGCACCGTTCTTCCGCAGAATTACAAAGCAAACAAAACACAAAAGAAGCGGCAAGCAAAGGACCGCAGCCACCATGCCTCGAACATTTGCATGCATGCGAGGATGCATGCTAGCGCAATGTCAAAAAGAAAACCCCACCACGGGCAGGGGATGTGGTTGACACGGGTATGCTGTGTTGCTGTGTTCGAGCATATCTGAAGAGCCACCGTGTGCCTGTATGTCGTGTGAGGGGGATGAGCGAACTGTGACAATAAAACCGTTTCCGAAAACTTGCCTTGAGATCTGCAATTTGTTTCTCGACAGAGTAAAGGAGGGTCTCGGCTTCGTTTTTTGCTGCGACAGCATCCTTCTGCTTTTGGTCTTCTTCCTTGAAGCGTTCTGCATCCTGGACCATTTGCTGGATCTGTGCCTCGCTTAGGCCTCCGCTGCTCTGAATGGTGATCTGCTGCCGCTTGCCTGTGCTCTTGTCCACAGCGCTGATGTTCATAATGCCATTTGCATCAACATCGAAAGTAACTTCGATCTGAGGAACCCCCCGCGGAGCCGGTGGGATCCCTACCAAGTCGAACTGCCCCAGCAGCTTATTCGCTGCTGCCATCTCGCGCTCTCCCTGGAATACCTTAATGCCCACCTACAGCGAAGCAAAGGAAGTCAGGCAGCAACACACACAATCAGACACAGGCGTAGAAACTGCAGTGCCTCGAAGAGTTGAAACAACCAGCGCACAAACAAACGCCGAAACAAACCAATCGCCTACTCCTAAAACCGCACAGCAGTTAGCAACCGCAGTGGTATGGAACACCAACAGTAGATATCCCAACAATCACCAGCTGACCCACAACAGCAGCACCACCGGCAGCAGCCTCAGCAGCAACACCAAGATTGGCACCAGCAGTAGCGTGAGCATCATAGGCAGGAATAGCAGCATATTGACAGTCACTAGAAGTAACGAAAAACAAGATGCTCGGCAACAGCAAAGGCAAGATCATTGGGGATAAAATTCGACGGTGATGTAGAGGAGGATGCGTCTGGGGAGTTGAAGTTGTTGCGTGCCTGTGTTTGATTGTCTGCTGCTGTCGAGAAGACTTGGCTTTTCTTTGTGGGGATGGTGGTGTTGCGGTTGATGAGGCGAGTGAAGACACCTCCGAGCGTCTCGATTCCGAGGGAAAGTGGGCAGACGTCAAGCAGTAAGAGGTCCTTGATTTCTCCTTTAAGCACCCCCGCTTGAATGGCAGCTCCCGCAGCAACGGCTTCGTCTGGGTTCACTCCCTTGGAAGGCTCTCTGTTGAAAATCGACCTCACCACCTCTCCCACCTTTGGCATCCTGGTCATGCCCCCCACGAGGATTACGTCGCTAATGTCCCCTTTTGTTACTCCTGCGTCTCTAATGCATTTCTCACAGGGTTCCACACTCTGCTGCAGCAGCGGCTGCACCAGCTGCTCCAGCTGTGCCCTGCTTAGGTGTACCTGCAAGTGTTTGGGTCCGTTGCTGTCTGCGGTGATGAAGGGCAAGCTGACTTCCGTCGACAGCTTGGAAGATAGCTCGATCTTTGCCGTTTCTGCGGCTTCTCTTAGGCGCTGCAACGCAAGCCTGTCGCTGCTAAGATCAATGCCCTCTTTCTTCTGAAATTCCGAGACCAAATACTGCAGCACCTTCTGGTCAAAGTCCTCTCCTCCCAAACTGGTATTGCCGTTGGTCGCCTTCACCTCGAATACCCCTCCCAAGATCTCCAGAATCGAGACGTCGAAAGTGCCACCCCCCAAATCGTACACTGCAATTGTCTTTCCGTCTTCTTTCTCCATTCCGTAGGCCAAGGCCGCAGCGGTGGGCTCATTAATAATTCTCAGGACCTCCAATCCCGCTGCACAGCAACCCGGAGACTCCAAGCCCTTGACCCTAAAACCATTTGACCGTATGAAACACTTCCAACCCACGATCCACCCAAATCCAAATACACACCGCCGCAAGGACATACAAACCCAGAACAAAACTAGGGAAACTGGGAAAAAACCATAAAATCGTGAGGAGATTTGCATGCGCCTGCAACGGCTATACCGCACAGGTGTTCGCGAAGCCCTGGATATGCTTATGTATAATTACATATACTGCATATATACTGTACATATACACTACTGTATATAAACTATGGAAGAGACGCAGGGGAGAGAGACGAGAGGCCTACCGATTCTGCCGGCATCCTTTGTTGCCTGCCTCTGCGAGTCATTGAAGTAGGCGGGAACAGTAATAACTGCTTTGTTTACATTCCTTCCCAAGTAGGCCTCTGCTGTTTCCTTCATCTTCATCAGCACAAATGCACCTATCTAACACAAGCACCACCTCCACATAAACCACACACATCTACATCCACCCAGCTAGCAAAACAGCCAGCTGATCCTCAGGCTAGTCATATGGCTAACCGCCTGGCTACATGGAATTCTGGATAGCTTGCTAACTAGCTGCTCGGTGGTCGCATAGCTCTACCACCCAGCAAAGCTGCAGATGCCCCCATTCATACCTGGGAGGGGGAATACTTCTTGCCCCAGGCCTCTACCCACGCGTCTCCGTTGTCGGCTTTGATGATCTTGTAAGGTAGGATTTGTCGTTCCTTGGAAATGGCTTCTTCTTGGAAGGAACGGCCGATGAGACGTTTCGTGCTAAAGAACGTGTTCTCAGGGTTTGTTACCGCCTGTCTCTTAGCTAGCACGCCTACGAGTCTCTCTCCGTCTCTAGAAAAGGCAACTACTGATGGTGTTGTCCTCGCTCCTTCTGCATTTTCCAACACCTTCGGCGAAGATCCTTCCATCACTGCCACGCAACTGTTCGTCGTCCCCAGATCAATGCCGACAATGTCCCCCTGCACGCTGCTTGCGTGCCGCCGGCTGCACACCCACCCCAAACCATAAACTCTAAACCATATACCAAACGAAAAGGGTGCAGTACCGACACCACCTGCCCTCTATGAGTCAAAAAGGATGGACCGGGAGGGGAGAAGCAAACACGACCAAAAGTGTACATCGTCAAGACCGGAATGACATGTAGGCAAAGGCACTAAAGCAAACACAAGCAACTTAAGTGACGAACAAACCAACAAGCGCACAACTTATAAACCGTGCAAAACAGCCATCACACCATAGATACGGTCAGCAACAACACGAAACCGAGCCAGCAGCCAACCCCATCTGGTAAACGCCCAATCAGCTGGACCATCATGCAGAACAAGCAACAAAAGAAACGGCACTAGCACCACGAGCACCTCCCCATGCCTTCCCTGAGAATCCCAAGTGGCAGAAGTCGGATGTCACCCAGCACAAACGAGACGCCACGGCGTGGGGCCCCACACAGACACACAAAGACACCGCTGCCATGTACCTACTCGCAGACTGCTGCATGCAGGCAATAAAACCCTTCTAGACAAACTCACCTCAGCAGAGCGGAGAGAAGGGGTGCCCCAGATGCACGTACACGCGAAAATATGCTGCTGCTGCCCTGGGCAAGCGCTCGGCCTCCGGGGCCGCGGCTGCCGGCCCACAGAGCCCTGGCTGCAGTCCTGGCGATCCCTCTATGCATTTTATTTAGCAGACCAAATCAACTGATCCTTCTGCTCAGCAAAAGCAAGAACTTCAAGCACCCAGCCGCCGCCCCGCGTGTGTTGCTGCAGTCGCTGCTGCTGTGCTGCTCAGGCGGCTCAGGTGGAGTTTCTTGAGGGCTTCTGACCCTTCTGCGCCTTTAGAGGCAGTTTTAATCGTCTACAAACAATAAAACACGCGAACAGGAAGGATTCAAACTCGGCTGTACATCAGAAGCAGCAGAAGTCACGGCGCAGTAGCCTGATGTGCTGCAACTCCCCACCTAGCAGCAGCCGCAGCAAGCAGGCAACCAGCAGCCCCATACAAAACGGTGTGTTGTGTCTGTTGTATCTTTCATCTTCTATCTATAGTAGCATATTTACTAAGTCAATGTATGATCATCAAGAATTTAAATCCTTCCCCCTTCATAGAGTACTAACGGACATCACAGCGTTCATACCCGCCACTACCAACCAGGCGACTTAAACAGGGGGCCCCTGCGGGAGCTGCTGGGGCCCAGGCTTTTCTTGCCGCTGTGGTCGGGTCGTTGAATTTCTCTTCTACTACCTTTTTCTTTTTTATTTGCTCGACAATCACCCCTTGATGGCCATAATAGCCAGGTCGGGGCCGCCATCGTCACCTGCTGCAGCAGTTCCCTGGGGGCCCCCTCCATCTCTCCCGAATCACAGCGCAGGGACAGGGGACCGTCTCAGATGCAGTAAACAGAAGGGGCCCAGCTTGACTTTTTTGTCTGCCGCTGGGCCTTCCTTTTCTACTTGAGGGGCCTTGGGGGCCCCGAAGGGCCCCTAACCCTGCTCCCTTCCTCGTGGCCGGGACTTGGTGCATTTGTTGTTGCTCTTGTTGGGTATTTGGACCGCAGGACCTGAGCGATTTGACCAATGGTGCGCCGACGAAAGGGGTTTAGGGGCCCCCGGGGGGGCCCCGATGAGTACGAGAGCGGCTTCGCCTCTCCCATGCACATCCGGAGACCGTCTCCTGAGTACACCCCAATGGAGCGGCCATTGATGGGGACCCCTCTTGTAAACTCTACGGGGGGGGAGAAGAAACACAAGAGAAGACGCAGCCGGTCTTCTTCTGTTAGCTCGAGTTCGTCGGAGAGTTCTGGGGAAAGACAGAAGCGGAGGAAGAGCAGCAAGAAACACAAACACAAGAAGAAACACAAGAGCAAACACTCAAAACCCAGATCGATTTCCCCTACTCGAGGCACAGAAGCAGCAGCAGCGTTAGCAGAAGAAGGTGCCCTGCCCCACGAGGGCCCCTCGGCAGAGGACCATATTGTTGTCTTTGACAGAGCGAGAAGGACATTCACTTCCGAGGCACCCACCAGCAGCAGTGGGGGACCCATGGGGGCCCCATCCAGCCTGGGAACCCCGTCGTTTGAGTTGAAAAACTACTGGAAGGCGTTTGGTCTGTCTTCCGGCACGTATTCTTTCGTTGGGGAGGGGAACGCGTTGCCGGCTGCGGCTGCCGCTGCGGCGGCGGCAGCAGCAGCAGCAGCCACGGCGGTCGGGGGTCCCACAGGGGGCCTCCTGGGTGCAGGAGAAGGTAAAAAGAAGGATAAGGATTCTGATAAAGCACCTGTGAACCCAAAAACACACCCCCACCTCTATTGGAGCTGCTGGAAGTGCTCGGCTCTCAACTATAAGACGCGTCATCAATGCATCAAATGCAACCGGCTCTTCCAGCGATAGGCGACGGGGCCCGGGGCCCGTAGGTCCCGGACGGGCCCCAGGGGCCCGCTAACAGTTTTTCTGTGGCCCCACAGTGGTCTTCCACCCGCAGGGATTCGTGGGTCATCAGGTAGCTTCTTGATGGCTCCCCTTGTGAATCGCAAATATTGGTGGGACAATCCGGGGCCATTCTAGCGTCCCTTGGCATTTTGACCCCGGGGGCCCCATGGGGGGCCCACGTTTTAGATTGGCTGTCGACTCTCCATGGCCTTGTAATATCTTACATATGCAGTATTCTGAACGGACACAACGGAATGACTTAAGTCTTCCGTAAGTTTGCACGTAGCTGTCGAAGGGCAATAGATGCATTCCTTAACCTGGGGTGTATTGTCAGTGTGTCTGTTGCCGTCTTCATTAGTTGTTAGTATTACAAGTAGTCATGTAAGAAGTATATTACAGTGTAACGACATACGGCATAGTGTTTGGTATGTTGGGCGATTCTTCATAATTATCTTTGATATATAATTAGCCCACGAAATGCAACAGCCTGTAGCTAGCCTGCCCTCGTAGCAGCCCTCGTAGCCGTTAGGGCGCCACTCGATCACGGGACACACGATAGCCTAAATCATGGGATGGAGGTAACCTACGGGTCCCCCCGTCGCAATCCTCGTTACTACAGGGGACCCCACACTATCATGGGCTCTACTACGGGGGCCCCATCTCTGCCTTAATTACGTTAGAGGTCGCAATCTCTACCCTAAAAGCCCGCCCCTACTAGGGGTCTTTTCTCTACTGCTTGGGCCCCATCGGCTCTACTGCTACGGTCCCTTAGACGCCTTAAGCCTTTGAAAAACGAACAAAACTGCGGACCCCTTCAGGCTTCCAGGGTCCGCTTTATTAAGGGTGTGGAGCCCTCTTATGGAATTCAGCAGTTTCCTAACAGGCCCGGGGGTTCCCGCAGGCATCAGACGGTCCTTCGGAGGTCACCCAGACCTTCCCTTGCCTCCCCTTTAGGGGCACTTGTTGCGACACGAAGGTGGATTGATGCTCTGTAGAGACCTTTGGGGGCTCTCGAGGCGTATGCACAGTCGTGTTTTTGCGTTGCATCTAATTGATTTAAGATATAAAAAGGTCATCAACAAAGTCATCCACGGCCTCCTGAAGAAACTTCTGTTCTGTACCCTCTGCGACGGCCTTCATGGCGCCACGAAGCCACCGGAAGGCAGGCAGGCACTCCGTAACCCCACCACTACTACTGGTGTTGTTGTTGCTGCTGGAGATATGGCGGTGGGGATAGGCCCGAGCTGGTGAGGCGGCTGATGTGCTGCGGTTACAAGGTGGCTGCGGTAGCAGCAGCGAAATGTAGTGTATCAGCTGCCGCCGGCCCCACAGCAGGCGCTCCCTCACCTGCTGCTGCTGCTGCTGCTCCAGTCGCTGTAGGTGCTGCTGCTGCTGCACTGGGCTGACAAAAGCTACAGCCGGGAGCCACAGGCCTGTAGCGACGAGGCTAGGAAACCCCTGAAGAGAGAAGCAAAGGAGGCAAAGGAAAGGGGCAGCTGGAGGAAACTCAGGACATAGAAATGGGGAGACAGCATCGGCACAAGCAGTTACGCATCCCCAAGGGAGTTACTGTGCACGCAGAAGCAACAATAGGAGAACAACAATACAGATGAAGAAACAGCTTTACGGGAGGGAGAGCACAGGGGGCGGTTTCACCTCTAAACTAAACTGGCGAGCCTCTTCAATGACCCTTGGGTGCCTCCCCGAGGACCCCTCAGAGGCCCCCAAAGGCATTTGCTGCTGCAGGCCCTGCTGCAGAACTCTAGGGGAGCAGCACTCAGCAGCAAACGGGTCTGAAGTGAGGTACCACAGGCGGGCTAAGGCGTCCCACGGGCAAAGCTCCTCCTCCTCGTGCTGCTGCTGCAGGGGAAGAAGGGCTCTATCTGCTGCTTGGAGGCCTTGCATACCTGGGGTTTCAGGCAGGCAGACATCCCAGTAGCAGCAGTTTTCAAGAGGAGACAAAATAGAAGAATCTGTAGAAAAAACCCACAGCTGCGCCGCCAACTGCTCTGCTGTGGAACAACCAGCTAAGCAACGCGCGAACGACTGCAACCTGCTGCTGCTGCTGCTGCTGCACAGGCGTCGCCGTGAAGCTGCAGGTAAGTGTCGTGTGGGGGCCCGGAGAGGCCTGCAAGCACGTACAGGGCCACGGGGTTCGTCAGCGATGCTGCTGCTGCTAGCAGCCGCAATAGCCCCCCTCCCTTTTTTGCTCCTCAGGCAGGATGCAATGCTGCTGCTGTTGCTGCTGGTGTTTAGGCATTCATCAGCGTCGCTAGAAATCTCCTCAACCTCTGTTGGTGCTGCTGGTGGGGCTGCTGCGGTTGCTGCTGCTGCCGTTGGCTTGCTCGTATTTTGACCGTGCTGCAGCGGAGACTCTAGCTTCGCGCCTGCTTCTGATGCTGCAGAGGCCACAGCAGCAGCAGCACTGCTGTCTTTAGGATGCAGCAGGAGCATCTGTATGTAAGACGGTCCACGCGTTGGGTGCGGGCGTAGCAACAAGTCAGCAAGCGAAACAAGGTGCTGCCGCTGCGGAGGATCCTTTTGGTCCTTTTGCTGGCTAGGAGCGTTAGCAAATGCATGCTGCTGAAGCAGCAGCAGCTGCTGCAGCTCCAATGCTGTGCCGGTTAGGAAGGCACTGAGGCGCAGCCACCATCCCAGCAGCAGCAGCAGCTGCCGCCTATGCAGCAGCAGCAACGAAGGGGCTGCCAGCGATCCTAAATTAGAGAAGAAGGCAGATTCTACTAGGGCCTGAACAAGCAGCAGCACATACAAGTTTTTGCTGCTGCTGTTTCTGCTGTACCTACTCCTGATTGTGCTATTGTTGAGGCTGCTGGTGTTTTGCTGCTGCTGCCGCTGTGCGCGGCGGAGAACAGAGTCAAGAGCTTTGCAACCAACAGCACCCCATAGCAAGAAAGGGAAGAATCAGACGAGGAGGAATTAAAAGAACCAAAAGGATTGTAAATGACTGAACGAGGTGAGAGGCAACAGGAGAGACAAAGTCAGAAAGAAACCTGCTGTACAAATGAACTGACAGAGGAGACTGCAAAAACAGCAAACGGAGACACTTAGCGCGAATTAGGAGCAGCAGCAGAGGCACAGGAGGTGTAGCGTCACAGGCACAAGAAAACCGACCTTCTCTTGCTGCACGAAGTAGGCCTTGGCTAGGGATAGCTGCAGCTCTGCTGCCGACACGTGCTGCGCCTGCTGATGCAGCATGAGGAGCATCTGCTGCTGCCGCTCGCTCAAAGGCCACTGCTGCTGCTGCTCCGCGCACCTTTGGAGACCCTCCTCCTGCATCGTAGGAATGGGTTTGCTGCGGGTTCGTCCCCCAGCTGCTTGTGCTGCATTCAAAGGGGCTACTGCAGCTCCTTCGCCAGCAGCCGCAGCAGCAGCAGAGGCTATAAGGAGGCAGTCATGAATGCTATGGTGGTGCTTCTGAGTGTCTCCTACTCGTAACGCTCTCATGAGACGGCCAGCCTCCTCATCAGCCCAACAAACAAAGACAGGAGCAGCAGAAGTGTAACTGCGCAGCAGCTGCTGTTGCAGATCGAACAGGCGCTGCAGCAACACACGGCCACGAGCTCCTGCATCATCTTTGCCCCGCTTGCTGCTGCTACTGCAGGTAAGAGCTTCGAAAAGGATAGGGTTTGCGGCCTCTAAAAAAGAACATAGGCAGCCGTGCTGTTCCCATAGAGGCTGCGCGCTGCTGGCTAGCTGCTGCTGCTGCTGTTGCGCTTCTCTGTCTCTCCTGCTGTCTGCTTCTTCGCGTGCCCGCAACGCCCCTAAGTCAAGAAGCTGCTGGCTCACTGCCTCTGCTTCCATCTCTGCTGCTGTTGCTGCGCATGCAGCAGCAAACGAGCTGCGTCTTTCTGATGCTTCCTGCTGCCCACGCGGATCCCCTTTCATCTCGCCTCGCCCCTGCAGCCGCTGCTGCGGCCGCTGCCGCAACCGCTGCTGCTGTTGACGCTGCTGTTGCTGCTGCTGTTGTACTGCAGCAGCAGCTTGTAAAGCCGTCGATATGAAGCAGCCATCTTTTACCAACTCCGCTACTGCTGATTTAGCCTCGGTGCTAAGCGAGCGGCAGTCTAAACCTTCGCATGCAACCCGCAAAGCCTCAGCTCCGCTGCTGCTGCTGCTGCTACTGCTGCTGCCCGTGCCACTGCTGCTGGCGTGGGGAAGGGGCTCCTGTTTCACAAAGAACTGCTGCTGTTGTTCTTCTGCAAGGCTGTCGACATCAATTAGTTGCTGCTGTTGCAGCTGATACTGCACCGTCGCTGCCTCGGCTTCCAGCCCCTTGCGCGCGACGAAACGCCAGCAGCTGCTGCTGCTACTCTCAGCAGCAGCTGCTGCTGCTGTAGTAGTAGCTGCTTCCCCCTGCCAGCAACAAAAGGGACAAAGATAACGCTGCCTCTCTTTTTTCATAAGACCGCTGAGCAAACAGCGCCTGAGAGCCTCGATCTCCCGCCTTTGCTCCGCGCCTCGCTGTTGCTGCTGCTGCTGCTGCTGGCTGCAGCTGCTGCTGCTGCTGTTGGAGCTTGAGCGGTGTTGTGACTGCGGATGCTGCCTGTGGGGAGGTCTCTGGTTGCGGCTATCGGCAGCAGCAGAAGGCACTGAAGCAAGGCTGCTAAGGCCTCCTAAGGCCCCCAAGCCGTGCTGCTGCAGCAGGGCCTCCCTCCTCTCTAGTCGCGAGCCATGGCGGAAGATAGAAGATCCCCTGCACAGGGGACAAGCAGGGGAGGCGCTGCGGCTGCTATTGCTGTTGTTGTTGCTGTTGCTGCTGCTGCTACTGCTGCTTCTACGGCGGCTTGTGCCGGTACTGCTGTTGCTGCTGATGCCCGTGGGTAGGCTGATCGGGTGTCTGCTACTGGTCGTGCCGCTACTGGTGTTGCTTCCGTTTTTCCTACTGTGGTTGCTGCTCCTGCTGCTGCAGCTAACTTTTCTGCTGTTGCTGTGCCAGTTGATGCGGCTGTCGCTGCTGCCGCACTCACTGTTGCTGCTGCTTCTGCGGCACGCGCTCGGAGAAGCAACAACACCCGCGGGCTCCCCGTCCGTCGTGTCTGCTGCACCATATGTGCTGCAGTGTGGGGCCCTGGGACCCCTCAAGCTGTATCGATTAATCCCCTGCATGCGCATTGGCATATGAAGAGACGCGGGCGAGCCAACATTCCGCAGCGTCCAGCGCTGCCCCTGCTGCTGCTGTTGGTGCTGCTGATTCTGCTGCTCCTCCTCCTCCTCCTCCTCTTCCTGCTTCTGCTGGTGGTCCTCCTGGTGCTGTTGCTGCTCCTGCTGCTGTTGCTCCTCGTGCTTCTGTTGCTGGGGTTGGGTATGCTCTGGTATTTGATGTTTCCTTCTCTTCTGCCGACCTTCAGCACGCCCCGCCAGGGCCCCCGGTGATTCGCTGGGGGGCCCCAGCCACGGGGGGCCCCCTGTAAGCAGATGCATGCAGGCAGACTTCAAGATGAGAAGACAGAGAGGGCAAGGCGGTGAAACAAACAACAGAAGGTAGTTAGCCTCCAGGCAGTCTCACCGAGTTACGCAAGTTCGCAAATGGAAACAGAAAACCACAACGGCAAGCAGGTATCACTGGGTCCCCTCCTGGCTACATACAGATCAGGCAGCACAGAGACATTGAAGCCTCTCTGCGCCACTGCTGCTATGTCGCCGTAACATATGAGAAGAAATGATAATGCCGGTACATCCCGGCCCAGGCAGGATGTAACCAGTGCCCCTATGGAGAGAGTAATATTACAGAGCAGTCAAGCAAAAATATACGAATAAAAACTTGAAAAATAAATATATACACAAATAACGGAGCATGCAGACACAAACACAAACTCACACACAAACACACACACACAAACGCATACACACACAGACAAACCTCCCTTCCACTCGCCAGCACTAGGGCCCCCCAAGGGGCCCCCAGAAGGTGACTTCTCCGCCTAAAGAATTTATATTGTTTCCCCCCGGTTTCTTGGCATTTACCCATGTTTAGCATTTGAAAAGCTCCATAGTAGCCGCCGATGAAGGCTTAAGTAGAAGGGCAATACAATTTTAGTGTCTGTGCACCTTAAGGCCTCGCGGTAAGGGAGGAAGGAAAAGTCCCCCCTAAAGCCCTGAGCATCTTGTTTTTGTGCAGCTGCAACTACTCATCGGGTTTATTCAGGTTTTCTTACGAAGCAGCTACCTTGTTGTAATTGGATGACGGCGGTTTTATCTCCACCTGTTAGGGGACCCATTCAGTGCTTGCTTGCTTTTGCGAGCGTTTCTTCGCAGCTGTTTACTCGCATTTGACTACTAATTTTGGCGAACACAAAAATGGCCAGTAGTGCATAGAGGACACAGCAGCACCAAAGGATGAGGACAAGATTAATGCTTACGATGTAGGTTCCGATACGTTTCCGTACTGGAGACGGACTGCGAAAGGCCACTGAGCTGCCAAAGAGCCAAGGTAGACTACGTACGAATTTTGCAGAACCGCTGGCCACCTCCGTGCCGCCAATCCTCCCCAAATGGGTTATTTACTTTATTAAGATAGATCCGTTGGAGGGGTGCACGCGGATCCCTGCAGGCTGGTGCGAGAGGGAGGATTTTCTTAACGTTCGTACGAGTGTGCAGGGATAGGGTCCATCTTTACAACAATTTCTTTCTTCATCGAATGTGTTCCGTCCTTAGTGCCTAGAGCCGATATACATGAAAACTACTTCTTTGCTTTTAATGCAAGCGGCTGCTTCCCGCGTCGCAGTGGCAGAACAGAGCGTAGCTACCATACACTTTCACATTCCGGTTGAACACAAGAACGTTGTCCATATAGTATAATCACTGATCCATTTTGCACCCGAAATCGTTTCCGACCGGGCATGACAGTTCAACATGGGTATTCAACTGCCCAAATGGCATGTACGTATACTCCAAGTTTCGTGCGGGTGTGACACGCAGTGTAGAACACGTCAGCAAAGTCATATGATGGATATGTTGCTGGACGATGCAAACTGCTAGGCAATTCGTCGATTGGCATTACCAGACACAACTTGCTGCACGTTGAAGATTCCCGAGGGGATCTTGAAGCTGAGGAACAAGCTCCGCTTGCCTTTTTGTTTGCCTATGCAAAGGAAAACAAAAGAGTGCTTACACACGAGTTGGGACTCAATGAACGCACAGCGTGGTTTGTACAACGTGAAATTAACACTGACTGTATCCGCCTAAGCCATCGTATTTGGGGTTTTCACATGGCAGATAATGGCACGAGGCGAGCAAGAGGCGGAGGTCGTCCTCGTGCTAACACATCATAAGTTGCTTGACACACTAATGAGCTAATAGAACACCAAGCCTAACACGCTCAGTAGCAACACTGAGGGTTTATTCAAACGCGTGAAGACGGTTGGCTCGACATCCGGGCGTGCCGTAGGAGCTGGAGCTCCCTCGCATCCCCCTTTTCAACCTTTTTTGCTCGAGGCGGCAACGCCCAACTCCAAAACCCAGCTATCAAATTTTCAACATCGGATTGTGTCCAAGCTCACCAGTTAGACGTTGCCCGCTTTTTTTACCAACTTGTCTGCTTGCATTGCAATTCCCTTTTCTAGCGTTTGGGGACGCCCGGCACCTCGAAACAAGCCCTGGGGATAACAGCTGTCTTTCTATGGCCAACACGACGGAGTGCATGAATTTCATTGCCGAATACCGCGACGCAGCTGCATTCTGTAGGAGTCGCTTCTCTTCTTTCTCCACGGTTCTACTCTTTTAATCCTAAGGAGTGCAAATGACAATGGGCGCGCTGAGAAGTACATTCTTTCCTTGATTCCTAGCACGTTAACGTCAATGGCCTCACCAGCCTGGTGTATGTGAGCCCTTCTCGGGGCCACCCATGCCGTGCATATTGTTATGTCTTGGTAGGTCCGTCGAATGTAGAAACAACAATTCATGTAGGCAGTACGAACTGGGGTAGGCACACAGCGAACTCATGAGGGCATCCGGATGATACTATATCCTTCTTTGATTCGTTCACTGCACCGAACGTTGCGTGGGAATCTCTGCAAAAAGCCATTAACCTCAAAGGTCCGTTAAACATCCGCTACCAAATAAGTGGTACTTCTCGATATGCAACTCTGTCGATACCTCCGTTGCTTGCGCAACCCTAACAGGCTGTTTCCCTGCAGTGGAATAAACCTGTATTGTAGGGCATACTGGAAAAGCCACAGAAAAACAGTGCCTTGTGAGACGGCCACAACTGATGTGCCTCCACGTCTACCAACGAAAACTGATGTGTCGGCTGTAGTTCTTCTGTTGTTTGTTACCAAGCGCAAATATAAACACCAAGAGACGCTAGAAATTCCACTACCGTCCCCGCGTTGCCTAAACCATTGTATCGGGGCGTCCAGCATATGTGCGAGTTGTTTTGCAGCGAGGATATTCCCAGTTGCTCAGCAAGCGTCCCAACTGTTGCTCCCCTTCCCAGAGCAGTTCATTACCTCTCTCAACGCACCATGTTGCACCAGAGGTAAATGGCTGATGCTGGATTTAAGTCCTCTGATCTGGCCAGGGGGAAATTTTCGTCCACGCTTATATATCTGATGCCCCATCAGGACTGGTGAAGGCTTCCTAGCACCCCACCCCGTTGTGGGAGTTATATCCACTGCTGGGACCTGCATCTCATAGACTACACGTTGCTTGCCTTTGAACGCATCCGAGGAATACGCCAGTTGCGAAAGTGCCAACATAGTTCAGCCCAACTTAAGAGCAGCTGAGCTCCCCCGAATATTCAGGCGTGCTGAATTCACCGGATCAAACGCCTGGTACTGAGGATAAACTGCCCCTTGTGAAGTGCACCGCCCCTTGCTTCCACTGGCCGTCCAAGCAACTCCAATGGACACGCACAAACATGCCCTCTCGGTTGTATTTATGAATGCTCTGCATAGCACTGTTAAACGCTACCACTTGCGTACAGTTTGCCTACAAGGGCCTCCCAGGTGTTTGTGTACAAGTTCAAACAGGGTTGTCAACATCGGACAGACTAAGCTACAAACCCCATTCCCAGTTCTGCCACCGTGGTTGGTAAGAGGGGTCTACAGAAGTTGCCTATTTCTACAAACAGACGAATTAATTGTACAGCGAGTCATGTGATCTAAGTGTAACTAATAGCTACGGGTTAAGGAGAAAAACCCGCGGCGTACAGTGCAAGAAAAGGAGACAGCGGAGGGGCTACGCTGCAGCGCACCAGAGATCGTGCGGCCTCACAAAGAGAGGAGAAGTCTAGGAAAGGAAAGAGAGAGGATCGAATTTAAACAAAAAGCAGAGATAGAGCTGGGATTGAGTTAAGAGAACCTCCAACCCAGCCCCAACGCCGCTGGTGCCCCCGCAGGAGCAGCGGCACAGCAGCAAGTGCTCGTGGCGGGGCCCCCGAGCAGCTGCAACGCATGCAAGGGGCCCCCAGAAAAGGAGACAGTTCGTAAGAGACATCACCCCAAAGACAAGCTCAGTAGTAGGCGACCTTCGTCGCAGCAGCTGCAGCAGCTATAGGAGCCCCTCGGTTCTCTGTCCTCCAAGGCCCCCCCTGCAACAAGGGGGCGGCTGTTGCTGCCGCTGCTGCTGCAGCACTTGCAGCCAGCAACACACAAAAGCATTTTGAATACGACTGCAGAAGTTGCTGCAGCTCTAGTTGTATCGCCGTCCCTCAGGTGTACGTACACTTGCCGCGCTGGCTGCTGCTGCTGCTGCTGATGCAGTGATACTGTGGGTGTTGTAGTCAGGCTCTCTGCTGCATTAGATATATCAAAAGAATATGTTGAGGCAGCGCTACAAATAAACACAGAAGCGCGAGGCTATCAGGAAGAACAGCAGTGGCAACTGCTACCACACAAAGCACAGCAGCTCCACTGCTGCGCCGCCGCTGCCCCTGCTGCTGCTGCTGCTGCAGGGTTTGTGTGCTGTTTGTGTGCGTCTGCTGCCCAGCCAATGCCTTACGCAGGAGAGGGAAGTCAGGGGCCCCGCAGAGGAGGCCGCCCAGCTGCTGGGGGTGGAGAGGGGCCCCCAGCGCGTCAGCAGCGGGGGTCTAAGGAGGGTTGGCGTCCGGAGGGTTCTAAGAAGCAGCAGCAGCAGCAGCAACAGCAGCAACAGCAACAGAGGCAGCAAAGCGCTGCCGCTAATGAAGCAGAGGAACCTTACACGCAGCAACTACAGGGGCCCCACAGCGGGCCCCAAGCTCCTTCGGCCAACTATGCAAGAGACGGCTATCAGTTAAGTGCAGCAGCTGCTGCTTCACGGCAGCAGGAGGAAGAGACAAGACATCAGCAGCACCTGCTGCAGCAGCAGCACGCACAGCATCAGCAGCTTCTGCAACAGCAGCAGCACCTGCAACAACAACAGGTCCTCGATCCTTACAGTAGTAGCGTTGCCGCTTACGAAGCAGCGTACGCAGCAGCAGCGGCTGCTGCTGCACCCTCGTTGTATGGTAGTCTTACACCTGCAGCAGCAGCAGCAACGAACACTGCGCTGCAACATCTGCAGCATCTGCAGCAACTGCAGCAGATGGGAGTAGCCACCCAACTGGGGCCACTTCCCCCATATTGTCTCAGCGATCTTGCACCTTTGGGGAGTCTGGACCAGCAGCAGCTGCAGCAGCAACAGTTGCAGCAGCAGCAACTGCAGCAGCAGCAGCTTCAACAGATGCAGCAACAGCAGCTACAGCAGCAGCAGCTGCAGCAAATGCAAATGCCAATGCTTTACGCAATGCAGCAGCCAGGTGGAACCCCTATAGACCTGCAGCAGCAGCAGGCCTTGGTCCTGCAGCAACAGTTACAGCTGCAACAATTGCAGCAGCACATGCAGCAGCAGGACCCGTATTTGCAGCAGCAACCGTACGCGTATACACTGGCGCAGCAAGCAAAATTGTCAGCTGCATACGGGGTTCCCGCTGCTTTGCTGCCACAGATGCAGCAGCTGCAGCAGCAGCAGCACTTGCAGGCACTGCAACAGCAGCAGCTGCAGCAACAACAGAAGCTGCATGAGCAGGCGAAGCAGACACAGCACCAGGACATGCAGCAGCAGATTCTTCAGAACGAGCAGCAACGCCAGCGAGACCAGCAGCAGCATACTGTCCAGGGCGAGGGCAAGACGCCTGCTGGTGCTGCGGTTGCTGCTGCAGATTCAAGCCAGGCGCAGCTGTCGCATAAGATGTATGATGGGGAACTCACGCGTGCTTGCGAGCCGCAGCAACAGCAGCAAAAGCAGCACAAGCAGCAGCAAGCGCGCAGCCAGTCAGATGAGTCACCGCCGCCGCCACCACCACCACCACAGCAGCAGCAGCAGCAGCAGCAGCAGCAGCAGGTGCCACCGCAGCAGCAGCAACAACAGCAACGAGTAAATGATAACCATAGACCTCGACAGCCACCTCAAGGCACACATAGACTCAGCAACACACGTAGTCGGGGGGGTAGAGCGAACCGCAGCAGCGCAGCAGAAGCTGGACCTGCAGCAGCAGCAGCTGCTGCTGCTACTGCTGCTCCTCATTCGCCTGCAGCACCTGCAGCTGATTTCAGCCCAAGTCACGCTCCACAGCAGCAGCAGCACCAGCAGATGCAGATGCAGCAGCAGCAGCAGATACAGCAGCACCAGAATGCTGGTGGGAGTTCGCCGTGCAGAAGTTCTGACTGTGTGTCTGTAGTGTCTGCTGTACGCATGCAGCAGCACAGCGGTGGCCATCCCCTGCAGCAGCAGCAGCAGGGTCCACGTCGGCAGCATGGAAGAGCACCTATTCATGACGCAAGGGGGACCCCACCTGGAGGCCATTCGTTGCAGCGCCGCAGTAGCCAACCCGAGGGAGACAGGCAGCAGCAGCAACAGCAGATGAGAACTGAAGGGCAGCAGAGGCATTCGGCAGCAGCAGTAGCAGGTGCTGCTGGTGCTGGTGGTGGAGCACCGCAGCACCAGCAGAGACACGAGCGCGGGCCTGCCCGGCAATGCCCATCAGATTCACAGCAGCAGCAGCAGTCGCAGCAGCCTCCCCCGCCGCCGCCGCCGCCTCTGCCGCAGCAGCAGCAGCACCAGCAGCACCAGCAGCAGAAGCCACGTAGAGGAGGTCGCCAGCAGCAAGGTCGGTTTGGAGGCGGCGGAGAAGGGTACTTGGGGTCCCTGGGCGATGGCATCCGGGGGCCCCGTCTTGGGGCATCATCTTCAGCTGCAGGTTAGTGGGAGAGCTCATCGATAGTAACAGCTTCAGCAACAGCAGCATGTTCTGTGTGCCAGCAACAGCATGTTCTACTGCAGGTAGTTCGGCAGCAAGACGGCAGCTGTAGTAGCACGGAACCCAGGGTCAGCGCTCACAGCAGACAACAACAGCTGCAGCTGCAGCAGCATGTTGTGTGTGCCTTGTGTTTGTTACGCAGGACACGGGAGGGGCCCCCCTGGGGGAGGGGGCCCGTTGGTGGGCCCCCAGGGTTCTCCTGGGGCCCCCCCTCGGCAACGGGACGTGCAGCAAGAGGAGGCCCTCGATAGGCGCATTCAGGTTATTAGCGCAAACAACAGAGAAGTAGAAAAGAGACACAGAATAGTGAGTTAAATGTAAATGCTTCTCTAGGGTTTACGACATTTCATGTATAGAGACAAGCCCGTCGTTAGGGTTTATGTAGAGAAACACTTTTAGTATAGAGGCGAAGGTGTCAGCCCTTTTCCATGGTCAGGGTTTACGTAGAGAAACGATTTTCGAGAGAGGTTCATTTAAATGCACGAGTGCACCTCTAGAGAATTATTAGGAGACACATCGAGAGGTTGAGGGATCGCTACCACGCACCTGTGCTCCGCCTATGCATTCTTGAGGCTGCTGTTGCTGCTGCTGTTGTGCTGCTGGTTTCCTGTTGTGTTGCTGCTGCTGCAGGCGGAGCAGGAGCGCCAGGCGGCCCGAAGACTTGAAGAGGCAGCAGCAGCAGAACGAGCTGCTGAGGGGTCACCTCAGACACCATCTTCTCGGCTCGTATCTGCTGCTAATGGACCTCATCCGCGCTCCAGCAGCAGCAGCTGCTGCAGGGGAGAGGGGAAATCCGCGGCTGTAGATGCTGCAGGGTCGGAGTCATCAGCAACAGCAGCTCCAACAGTAGCAGGGGCCTCTGCTGGTGCCGGTGGTTCGCCCGCTCCTGCTGCTGCTGCTGCTCCCTCTTCCGCATCATCCGCCACTCCTCGGGCGCGCTCAGGCCGCTGGACAAACTCTTACCATGGAAATCAGGAGTCTGTAAAGGGTGCAGCAACAGCAGCAACGCCTACTGCCACTGGCGGCCAGTCTACTTCTGGAGGCGGAGGCCCTCGAGAGGGTGCGGAGCCGCAATCAACAGCCCAGAGACTCTTGCTGCTGCACAGGCAGCAGCAGCAGCAGCAGCAGCAGACACCGTCCAGCAGAGCTGGCAGCGCAGCAGCAGCAGCAGCAACAGCAGCCACGACAGCGGCTAGTGGTGAGGGTCCCCCCAAGCAAAAGGGTCGCTCCACGCGAAGTGTCTCCCGAGGCGGCACTCGCAGCAGAAGCAGCACGGGGGGCGTCGAGCATTCCTTGGAGCAGGAGCAGCAGGAAAGAGGACCTACTGACGGGGGTTGTGATTCGCCTCAGCAGCAGCAGCAGCAAGAGCATCAGCCCCAGCAGCAGCAAGTCTCTGGAGGCCGCAAACAGGTAGAAGGTGTCGGGGCCAGTGGGCCTTCTAAAGACCGACGAGCCCGACAGGCGGCTTCAAAGCGCCAGGACGTTTCGCAGCAGCAGCAGGGCCACGTGAATGAGGCTCATCGTTTTCCAGCTGCAGCCTCTCCTTGGCGATCTTCTGGGGCACCTAAGCCACTGCGAGCGTCTGTACAGCGGGAGGGGACTTCTATAGCCAAGCAGCCCACAGAGGGTGCTGCTGGGGGCGCCCCAAGGGAAGCAGCGGTGCCACCTTTGAGGGCCTCTTCCTCCTCTTCTGCTGCAGCAGAGAGCTAGATTGCTGTGGTACTGCCCGCTGCAGCTGTTGCAGCGGGTTATTGTCTAAGTGTCTGGGCGGAACTCTGTCTTCTGGCTGTACAAGACGCACGATGTTGCATGTGTGTCTTTAGTTCTTCTTTTTCTTCTTGGGTTTTGTTGCAGCAGCAACAAACAGCAGGTGCTGCTGCAGCGGCTGCCCATTCGTGACCGTGGACATGTTCTCTTTTCCTTAGTGTCGGTATATCTTTATTTTGCGCTGAAATCTATAATACAATAATACCAACGAGTTGCTCCTTCTTTTCACGCTTAACACCTTGTCTTAAACAATCTTTCTTCTTCTCTGTCTCCCCACCTCAAGAGACTTCGCTCACACGCGGGAGATCTCGGAGAGGTCTGTCTAAGGAGACACTCCTCAGGGTCTCTTCTCCTCCTCTCTATTATTATTTATTATCCTATATTGTAGTTTTTACTATGGGGCACGTGCTTTCACTTGTTTCCTTCTTCAGAGCCCCCGGGAGACACTGGTAACGGGCAGTAGTAAGAGGAGATACAACATAACCGGCGCTGGGACACTAAATGTAGTACACTCTGCAGTAGTCAATAGAGATAGAGAGGGAGAAACAAGTTCAAATAGAGTGGGGGACAGTCTAGGAGACAGGATCAAGAGGCTGTAGTGGACATGGCGTATATGCGCCCATATGCGCCCTTACAACACGGGACAGCTAGCGGAAGAACTGCCTTACCCATGGCTTTAAGGGTGCAAAGGAAACAAGATCTTAAGGACGGCAGGGGATGCAGTCGATAATGAGTCTCTTATTTAGTATTTATATTCTTTGGGGTATGTTAGAATGGGGGGCTTCTGTCCTGCATCGACGTTGAGGAGGGCTATGAGTGTCACTGCATTTCATAAACCGAATTAGTCCTTTATTAAAACTGCAGTTAGCTGCTTTAAGACCTTTGTTCTTAGAGACAGAAGAACGCGCTGATGGTTATTCTGTCTCTTGCTGCTGCCTCTATGCGGCGCACCTTCACACCGCCAGCGACATAGTTCTCGACAGCGCAGAGCAGCGGAGGATTTGTAGCTGTTTATTACAGTATAGTGCCACTTTCAAGCAGTTCAATATTAAGAAATAGAGAGAATATTAGGTCGCTTCCTCTTCCCAGTCCCCCGTTAGATCAAGTGCCTGAGGCATTCGTTGCGAGCGATCAGGTGACCACGGGAAAATGGAACTCTGCGAATTTACGGCTCCAGTCTATGGTTCTTTGAGCAAAATAGTGGAAGAAATTTTAAATTAAAATTCAAAGTTAATGCTTGAAAATGTATATTTCAGCTGTAAATGAACAAGAAAGGGTGAATGCGGTCCCTGACTTAGCTAGTGAGTGAAACACACCGCTGTGCCCCGGCAGGGCGGTCGGACCATCGGCTGCGAGCCACACATCAACTGCTTGCCTGTTTACTCATTTGTTTTTCTCTGGCCTTTTTGACTTCTACAAAATAACCGAGTAACTGTGTACATCTTTCCGTATTTTGGACCTTCAAAAGTTCACTTTATGTGGGTTAAGTCTACTTGAAAGGCTCATCATGCATCTCCATCGAGATGGTGTCCGTAGCGATACATGGAACAAGGCCTTATGCCACGCTTGATCCTGCTCATATTTGCATTCTTTTATGATTTATTGGCATTTTCTGTTCTCGCGTCCTATTCTTTGCTTAGTTTTACATGGCCGAAGCCTTTCTTGCATTGCAGTGTCACGCCACTGATGGGGTTTGAATGCAAACTCTCAATACAATTATGAGAAATTTGCTGTTTCACTAGCCTCGTAAGCTGAACAGACTCTGGTTCTGTATTTATGTCCTGCTCCTGAAGTGATTGAGGCCACTGCAAGTTCTTCCTCTCGTGTTCTGTGTGTTGTCCAGACATTAAACGACAATGAAGACCTACTTTATTTTTGTGGCCTGCAGCGTCTGTTTGCTTCTTAACTCGGTCCGATCCTCAAGCCAGCAGCTCCCTGGTACTCTCCCTGAGGAGGCTGCTCCCTCCAGCTGCGATGTCTCTCCAGCAGCGGCACCTGCGGAGGCGCAACCTGCCCCTACCCCATCCACGCTCTTAGGTCCCAGAAGACAGCCCATGCAACGTAAGCACTGCCTTTTAAGCAAAATGGGTATGAGATATATCCCCATACATATAGATAGGCATTCCCGTCAACAGCTGAGCTGCACGGTGGGCGGTTTCATGAGTATATACCTATAAAAGTGGCTTGATTGTTTTTTACGTTCAGGTGTTGCGCAAGGCGTGTGGAGGCGGCCAACTGCTGCTGCTGGAAGACCTCAGGAGAACGGTTTTGCTGCGAACAGCAGATCTAACTACGACGAAGAGTGGCCTGGTCTCAGCAGCACCCGCTGCCCCACCACGCACCACACCACAAACCACCGTCATTACCGCGGAAGAGGACGCGGCAGGCCTGTGGCTGTTGGCAGACCAGCAGACAACGGCTCGAGTGTGCTGGACTCTATAGCTCGGGCAGCAGCGGAGCAGCAAGCTAGAGTGGGTTGCTGCTGCTGGGGGAAAGGGGCAGTAATGAGTTGTTCATAATAACACAAGCTTCTATGACAATACAGTTGTATCAGGCTGCTCTTGCTAGCTATTGCTGAGGTAAAGTTGTGTTTCCTGTTCCCTTTTGTGAAGGCAGACTTATTTACCACCGGGACAGAACGCCACCCGCTCTACCTCGAGGCCGCTGTGGAGTTCTTACGACTCGCGCTACTGCACGAGGAGGTAAGACAGGCAGCCAACAGTTATGCCTTTATACTTAACATACGTATTATTAAGAAAAGGTAGAAAAGATAATAGAAGTCCATACAGTTTATTTGTGTACTGCAGGCAGTAACTTACCATGTAAAGGTAGAAAAGATAATAGAAGTCCATACAGTTTATTTGTGTACTGCACTATGTCTGTGGTAATTAGCGGTTAAATGTCAATCATACATGATGATTTTAGGTTTTCTATGGTTTCTATCTGTAACATAGTTACAGATATAAAAGATAAAGAAAATACAAGGGAATAAGGAATTGTTGTTTTGCTGCTTTGTGGCTCAGCTCGAATGCAGTGAGGAGAGTTTGACAATTTTCGGGGATATACTGCTGCGAGAGATGCCACAGGACGTCCGTCTTTAAGTCTTCATGCATTTATCCTCTAGCCTTTTTGTCTCCTCCTTATTTCTCTTCTCTAGACTTTTCTGCTCTTCAGTTTGTATTTATCTTCTTTGTTTCCCCCCTTTTACGCACGTAGATTCTGCATTTATTAATACAACAAAAGCAAAAAAAGCAAGTTGCTGCTTTTGTGCATTAATGCTTCACTTGTTATGTTCAATCAATATTCTGTTGCATGCTTAGATAAGTTCTTTCGAACAAATAAAAGCAAATCTATTACATGACATATGCTGAACTGTTGCATTTGTTGCTTCTCTTGCTGCTGCTTCGTGCAGCTGCTGCTAACCTACCCTAGATTTCTAGACCACAGCAACTACAGCAGCCGCAGCAACTCCAGCAGTCGCAGCGACTACAACAGCGGCAGTGGCAGCGACTACAACAGCGGCGGCAGCAGCAACTACAACAGCAACTACAATAACGGCAGCAGCAGCAACTACAACAGCGGCAGCAGCACCAACCACAGCAGCGGCTACAGCTCAAGCAACAGCAGTTACAGCATCAGCGGCAATAACACCCGCAATAGAAGAAGCAACAGTAGCAGAAACAGCAGCAGCAGTAACAGCAACGCCACTCCTGCAAGACCCATACCACGCACAAGGCTGCCTGCCCCTATACCAACTCCAGGTGCTGGTCCTGACATCACCAGGGAAAATGGAGTTCCTCTCTATGTGACTCTCAACAGCAATGGCACTCCTGTAGCAGGAAGCAGACGTGCTGCTGCTGCTGCTGCTGCTGCTGCTGCTCCGCCTCCTCCTTTTCGCCCCAGAGCGACGCGCCACATGGTGCATAGACCCCTACAGCAGCAGCAGCAGAGAGCTACAGCAGGGGAAGCAGGAGAGGCAGCAGCAACTTCGCTTTCTCCTTGTCTTTAAACGGCAGGCAGTGGAAAAAAATTATATTTGTTACATTTTTATCCATTAGACGTTTTTGTGGTTGTTTGTGGTTAGGGAAAACAAACCCACCACGATACAACTAGTACTTTATTTGGATTAAATCCTACCTTTAATTTACTAAGAATAGCATTATCGTTTTTATTGTATAACATTTACATTTATATATGATGTGGGTTTATATAATGTACATGGTGCCACTATTTGTCACTGCATTCTTTATTATCCCGCATCATATATAATACAGAATGCAGTGATAAATAGTGGCACCATACCAAGCTCACACCAATTGTAGGTTGACAAGTTCAACTATCCTTCAGAAGCAATAAGTTAAAGAAAAGTATACACAGAAGCGTATATGCGTATATGCAAATGAATGTATGTGTGCAAACATAGCATCTTTATTTGTTTGTAGTGTACTCTTTTGCAGCTGCACACTGTGTCACCTGCTTAGTGTCCCGCAAGACTGCACAATTTATTATTTAATATCATGAGAAGTAATAGCAATGCCTTGTCATGCCATGTAGACCTTTGTGTAAGACAGAAAAACTGACGTGCACATTAATTCAATAACCAAGCGATTATATAATAGCCATGCACAGTTTTACCTGCACATGATAACTATACAAGATAACCCATTAGATGACGGTATTAGTTGTCTTTATCTCCATTTTTGCTGCACCTCTGCTTTTTGTTTCTTCCAACTAAGTACGATGGAAGTCTGACATATTACTGCAAATAGCATGCGGAAACCATTATACCCGTCTTCCTGGAGGTGGTATTTATGAAACGCAGCACTATGTTGCTTCCGATGTGGGGTTTCATTTAAGGGGTTAAATACATATGAAATTCATTTCCGTCTTTTTGTTTAATTTGTTTTTTGCAGTAACAATGGGTCTTCCTGTGGCTGTATTCTCGTGCTGCTGCAGCAGGCGCAGCAGCACCAGCAGCAGGCAACTGTCGGTGCTCTTCCTGCGGCAGACTCTGCAGATTGGGGGGGTAAAAAGAATTTAATAATTACTAAGTAAGCTTATTTTGGTAAACCAATACTTTTACTTGAAAATTAGTATATACACTGCCCATTTCGCCCCCCCCTTTGCCCTCCATTCCCGCCAAGCCTTCTTCTGTCGCCGCGCAGCAGCATCAAACCAGCAGCAGCAGCGGTGCTGCTGCTGCTGCCCGGCAGCAGCAGCAGCCCCAGTTGACGACTGAGCAGCAACTGCTGCAGCAGCAGTCAAATTAAACCACCTTCTTTCTTCATTATATACCAATCATTAGTTGCCAAAATAATCCCTGCAGTGTCACTTCCTTTTAAGGAACACAACACCATGAGGGGCCCCCTTGTCTGCCCTCTGCTGGGCGCTGCCAGGGGCCCTCTGCTGCCTACCGCAGCAGCAGCAACAACAACAACAGCTAGAACACACCTCTTCTGGGTGACTGCAGTAACGCCTTCCACAGCAGCAAAGCGCAAAGCAGCAGCAGCAGTGGCGGTAGAAGCACCGGGAGCTTGCCTCATAGGTGCTCGGCGGTCCTTCAGCAGCAGCAGCAGCAGAAGAAGAAGCAGCAGTAGCGGGGGCATCTCACATGGTACTCCAGGAGGCGCTGTGCATGCAGCAGTGGAGGCATTGCAGCTCAGTCTGTCTGCTGCAGCCGCAGAGAAGCAGCAGCGCATGCAGCGTCTGCGTGAGGTGTATGGAGCAGCACATATAGGAGCAGTAACTCCTTTGAGTGTCATGGGTGGTAAGGCATCATTTCTTTTCTTTTGTACTTTATCTTATCAACATTTTATTGTTAGGGGGACCCTGCAGCATGTCAGCAGCAACAAGGGACCGGGATATGACCATTGGTTCCATTGGGGATGCGCTGCTGCTGCTGCTGTGTTGCTGCTGCAGCAACAACTTCCCTTGCAGCGCTACTGTTTCTCATCTGCTGTAGTGGCAGCAATCGTTGCAGCACTGCGGCAGCAGCCGTTTTTGCTGCTGCTGCTCCTGCTTCTTGCCGTATTGCTACTGTTTCTTGTACAGCTGCTGCTGCTGCCATTTTTACAGCTCTGCTGCTGCTGCGTCTGCACTTGCTCCTGCTCCTACTGCTGCAGGGATGAGGGGTCTTACGGCCTTGTTCACGGAGACATCTCGTGTTGATGCTGAGGAGGGTTTAAGACTTCATGGGATGCCAATGCGGGAGCTGCTTCTGCAGCAGCTGCCCAAAGCAAAGGAAGATCATCTTTACCCTTCTGTAGAAGCACTACTCTGGTTCCTACTCACTTGTAAGACACTGCAGCAGCAACAGCAGCAGTGGTGGTGGTGGTGGTGGTGCTGTAGAGATGCAACCGCAAGAAGGCTGCAAAAGCAACTTAGCAGCCATCTCTGGTCCTTTGCTGTGTTTCAGCTGCGCTGCCATATCTCCCTCAAACCACAGACTGCAGCGATAAATTGTACTTACGTTTAGGTTTTAGGTTTTATGGTTTTAGGGGTAGTCGCCAGCTTTGCTCCCTCCCGAGACGGGGACGGCACTCGCACCAGTTGAAATTCGTCTCGATTCAGAATGCTTCTGCTGCTGTTGCTGCTGCTGTTGCTGCTGCTGTTGCTGCAGATATTTATGCTTCTGCTATTTGTGCTGCTGTTGCTGCTGGTGTTCGGTGCAGCGAAGGTGCCGACGGCTTCGGAGGTGTCCCTGGTGCAGCGTTGTCTGTACGAGATGACGGTATCTGCTGCTGCTGCGCCTTCTGCAGCAGGAGGAGGAGGAGCAACAGCAGCAGCAGGACTAGGAGGAGGAGTAGGAGGTTCTTTGTCTTTGGATAGCTACACACAAGAACGGTTTATGAGGGTCCCCGCCATGCTGCCGTTGCTGCTGCAGTCTCTTCCTGCTGAGGGACACCCCATGGCAGCATTTGCTGCTGCTGCTGCTGCTCTCTCTGATTTCTCTTTTTTTAGAGCAGCAAATGAAGAAGGGATTGTCAACAAAAAGGACCTATGGAGACCAGCTCTTGTTGATGCCCTTGCCCTCGTGAGCTGCTGCTGCTGCTGGGCGTGCTTCTGCTGCTGCTGTTGCTGGTGCACGGCTAGCGTCGCTGTTACTGCCCCTGCACGAATGGTTCAGCTGCTGCAGCCGCTTGCAGCTGCTTTTGTTATAGTGGCTGGTGGTTGAGGTTGCCTGGGAGCAGCAACAACAGCAGCAGCAGCAGCAGCTACTGTAGCAGCAGCACCACCATTAGCATCAACAGCAGGAACCTCCTGTGCAGTAGGAAGGCAATGGCTTTTGGTTCTGCTGCTGCTGCTGGCTGCGTGTGCCTTCAGGTAGCTCGTGCTGCCGTTGCTGCAGCTCATATATACAGAAGAAAGTTTGGTAGCGGGTCTGTGCCCCCTCCCGATCCCGATTGCGACTTCGTGCGTTTCCAATTGCTTCTCCTGTTGCCGCTTTTACTGCTGCTGCTGCGGTTCCTGCTGCATTGCCAAAACTTCAGCTGTTGCTACGCTAAGCCGTGTGTATGTTGTAGTGTATGGATTCGTTGTTGGTGGTACTGCTTGCTGTTGCCGGCTGTGCCTGCTGAGCCTACTTATTAGCTGGTGTTTTCCTCAGCTGTTTCTGCTGTTGCTGTTGCTGCTGCTGTTGGTGGCTGTTGATGATTATATATATATATATATATATATATATATATA